TTGTCTATGTTGTTATTAGGTAAAAGAACACTTTTTTTGCAGGAGATATGCAACTCTCTATAAAATATAAATTGTGTTTATATGCAGTTTAGTTTGTTGAAAATATTGCTTTAATAAATTAGTGATAACTGATAGTTCTGTTTGTGGTTGGTTTTGCTAGAACATTGCCAAGATAAATTAATTATGCGGAAGATTGATGGATGTGGATGTTAATTGGTTTCATCATTTTTCCATAATTGCACGTGTAACTGATAATACATTATATTCGTGGGGATCTAGATCGGAATATTCTCTACTATCATATAATGACATATGATAAGGGAAAGAAAATGAATAGCTCTTTACTTATTTTTTAATTAATTGAAGCATATTTTTTATTCTAACTTCTTAGTTTGTTGCCTTAAATTTTTTAACTTCTTCATCACTTATTTGAGTTCGATACAAAATTCTAAATCAATAAAGAACGGTCTATAGAGAGCTCGGTTGATACAATTAAACTTTTCATAAATAAAAAAGGTATAAAATTTTTAAACATGACCTAAAATAAGGTAAGTGAGATTTACAAGTACATGTATATTAGATCAACAAACATAAATAATAATAATTAGAATATTATAACAAATTATAAAATAACTAAATATAATGCACCGCCCAACGGGCGGGTAAAAAACTAGTTACTATATATAAAGCATATTAATGGGGTGAATTTTCTCCATTTCAAATTTGGAGCAACCAGAGTGAAAGTAGTAATGGTATTTTTGTCTTCACAATTAGTTATTTATTTTGTATAAAAATATATCTACACCAAGATTTGAACCATGGTCTCTTTAAACAAAGACAAGAAACATAACCAATTACACTAAACAAATACATTGTATACTTTTTATTACAAAACATACACGAAGTTAAAATCTTAAAAACAGATTGACTTTTGCATAATGATAAGCTAGCTCACTAAGTCTCCTGTAAGTATCTTTATGGTGTTTGATACTTCAATTTTTATATTTTATTATTTTAGTTCTAGACTATCCTCAAATCTATAAAATAATGAAGGAGATTCATGGGTTAAATTTTCTCAATTTCAAATATCCAGCAACCAAAGTGATTTTTGGAAGGAAAATATACAATTTACCACACTTTAATTGGAATGCTTCGTTTAAACATTTATGTTGGGCTTTAAATATGTCGCACAGATTTTAGCATTTTCGCTTGGCTTTAAATTCATTGGGTTCTATTTAGTTTCTAATTCTTTTTTTTTATTTTATCGTAATGTTGCTGGAGGGACGCAAACTCTCCCTCCCTCTAAAACTGGATAGGAGGAAACAAAGAAGCGGAAATCTCGCAGCCATAACTTCGTCACCAACTCGGCCGTTCTTGAGACCTCTCCATGGAGCTTTCAACACCTTTCCTGCTAGGCAAAACTAATCAAGGAGTACCATAGAGGTCCAACAAGTCTCCCTAGAGCCATATTTTGCTTTGCAACCACACCTACATATGAGAGTCGGAGATCCCAAGAGCTGCTACTGAAAAAATTACCAACTCTGCTAACAATACTCCTCGAGAAACAATATTTGAAAAACAAATGATCCCAGTTCTCACTATTTGCATGGCATAAAATGCATCTATCTTCATTTAATTTACCCCACCACATCAACTTTACCTTGGTTACTATCGCATCCATGGCCACAATCCGTGCTGTGATACTCCAACGTGACACATAGAATTTACTTCAGAGAAGAGCAGACCAGTGTTGTTTGCTCTTCACAGTAGGGCTGGTTATTTGGTCCGGGATATTTGATTTTACCCGAAACCGGACCGAGATCGGACCGGGACTGAATAGCAAACAATCCAATCCCATCTTCGGTCTTAGATTTGTGGTAAAAAAACCGTTCGCTACCGGACAGAAAACTGGATAAGAGAGCCCAACATCCAAAATTTAACCAACTCCTCACCCTTTTAGGACTCAGGCCACTCAAATCTCCACAAGGTCAATATAAAATCAAGACCAAATTGGGACTGAACCGGTTCAAGATCGGACCGAATCAAGACCAGACTTTATCCAATCCAATCTTTGGTCCTTAAATTCTTGAAAAGACCGGACAGGGACCTGATCAATTCGGTCCAATTTAACCGGGCCGGACCGTGTAGCCACCCCTACTTCACATGACGTATCGTATCCCAGACTGCGCTCACTGAGTAGCTGGTCATCAATTTCTCATTCCAAAAGCCTTCATCACCCTACTTCCTCATAAACGGCTGCACAGTTGACCGAAGTTTCAGAATTCGTCGCCACGACCAATTTTCTCTAATTTCACCTGTCAAACAACAAAAAAATGGTGTCTTTTCCATAAATCCAATTATCAAACCAATCTACACATGAATGAAAAAGTAAGTTATCAGTATTCTAATAAAATCTCCAATCTTGAAGATTTCAATATCATTTTCGCTTCCATAATATATATGGTACTAATCGTTGGTTACAATTTACTTCAACCTAATTATGGCCTTCAGATTAATCTAACGGTTTTATAAAGTCGTATTAAAATAATAATTTAATATGATTTGGATTACGATACAAAACCCAGACATAAAAACTCTACAAAATCCAAACCATAGAACCATTTATCGAATGGACATTTATTTTTTAACAACAATAGAGTTATTTTAGCAATTATGATATTATTTTTCATTATACGAGTTAGTACCTATTTCATTTTGTGTGATGTTAACAATTATCATAATCAACATAAATGTTCATTTATAAATAATTTATTAATGATATCATGAACATCAATAATATCTACAACGACACTCATGCATGGATGCAAAATGGTCAAAAATTCTATAGCATAATAGTTTGTGCAAAACAAGTAAGGTTAATGTTGTATCGAGGGTGGTTTTCACGTCATCATGGTACACCTTCAACATGCTACTTCATATTGTTGATCTATCTCTAATGTGCCCTGTATATTCTTTCACATGATATAATTTCATATCTATAACGTACCGTGATGAATAAAATGGTAACTATTGAGAAAAAAATATTTGATTAAACTACAATGGACAATCATTTCTTTTATGATTAAGATTGATTTTGTGTGAGTAATAGAAGAAAACTCTCATGATATCCTACATGAAATACAAAATAAATAAACACCATTTACTTTCTAAATATCACTATTAGTTGTTTATATTTGTTATTCATTTTTATATTTCTTTATCTATACCGAAAATTTACATATTATAAATGACAACACATCAAAATATGCCTACGGTGACATGCATGTCACGGTGACTTGCACTTTCCGGTCGACCTCAGTTAGGATTAGGTCGACCTCACATAGAATTCGGTCGACCTCATATAGGATCCGGTCGACCTCATTTAGGATTCGGTCGACCTCATATAGGATCCGGTCGACCTAATATGTTGTTTCAGTGTAAAAACAGTTCATGGTGCCTACTTTGGATATTCATATCATACAATTGGCTAGATGGAAATTGAATACTAAGGACTTGTTTTGAAGCTGGAGTGTCCATCTACATATTGAAGTGATTGAGAGCTCGATAGGAAGTCCAGAAGACCATTTTTGAACCTCATCAAAAGGCTATGCCAAAACTGGGAAACTGCCTAGAAATGGCTAAGTCCGGAAACGTGTTTGTGAAGCCTATTTTTTAGCTCAATTCGAGAAGCATGAATGCGAGTCGAGTCCAGGAGCCTCTACCACGTTAAATTAGGTATGTTTTTATACAAATTCAAGGAATTGGATGAAAGATTGGATATCTTTAAGGCTTCAAACAAAAGGGTCGAAGTTGCTACGAAGGCTGTTTTTCTGGCAGACTTCGAGCACAAGCAAGCTGCCAGAAAAATAGCCTTCGTAGCAACTTCGAGCCTTTTGTTTGAAGCCTTAAAGATATTCAATCTTTCATTCAATGCCTTGCCTTTGTATAAAAAAATACGTAATTTAACGTGGTAAAGGCCCCTGGACTTGACTCGCATCCATGCTTGTCAAATTGAGCTCCAAAGTAGGCTTGACAAACACGTTGCCAGACTTAGCCATTTTCAGGCAGTTTCCCAGTTTTGGCATAGCCTTTTGGTCAGGTTCAAAAATGGTCTTCTAGATTTTCTATTGAGCTCCCAAGTACTTTAATGTGTAGAGGGACACTTCAGCTTCAAAACAAGCCTTTAATCTCCAATTTCCATCTAGCCAATTGTAAGATATGAATCTCCAAAATAGGCACCATGAAACTGTTTGTACACTGAAACAACTGATTAGGTCGACCTGATCCTATATGAGGTCGACCGGAAAGTGCATGTCACCGTGACATGCATGTCACCGTAGCAAAGTCCCAAAATATATAATAATCAAACTCTCCGGCCAAAGCCAACCCCCGTGCTAGTGTTAGTGTTATAGATATATATATATATATATATTTTTTTTTTAAAGGTGTTAGTGTTATAGATATTGATTAATCACTCACTCAAACTTGTCTTATATGCTTCAATTTGGATCCCCAAATTATAGTAACTCCAAACAAAAGGATAGCAGCCTAATAAACTTGACCCATAATAAATTGGATTTGTACAATATTCAAATATTGAATGTTTTTTTTTATATCATGTCAATAACTGACACTCTAAAATAATTAAAAATTTTATTACTAACATTAATTAAAAATTTAGATGATTAAGATCTTAAACTCCAAACTCATAAAAAGGTTCGAGTAAGGTTCGAGTTTGAAGTTGACATAACATGAACTAGTTAATCATTAGTTGATGCTCGAAGTCGAAGAGGGTGACAATCTTGTGCTTTGGATGGATTGATTGATGTTGTTTAATTCCCCTAGCCAATACAAGAAATATTGCTAGGTAAGGGCTAGTTTTGAAAGGAGAATAAATTTTGGGACTAATTTAATAACAGAGAATAATTTGGGCATCCCAGTTGTAATTATTGTTTTCTGTTCTGTACACTACTACACTCTGTTTCTCCGATCCTGTAGGCTGTAATCCTGTTCCTGTCCAAAAAATCCTAATCCCCGAAAGCCACCCGTCCAGTGGCTATAACCAGACCCCGGTAATGGCCGCCGCCGCCGCCTTTGCGCCGGCCACGACCACTCTCCGGTTCAGCTCTTACTCAACCCTACGCTTCTTCAAAACAAGTTTTAGGTTCCATCTGCTGCCACCCAATCCCGATGTTTTCCTTCCAAAATTTCAATTCCATTTCGCTTCGCTCCCGCTCTCCGGCGGGGAATTTGGTAAGAGGCACTTTTGTAGTGTGGTTCCCGCGGCCCTTCAGCATTCCGGGGATAGGGTGGCTGCCGCCGATGCTGTGGAGCAGCCGGCGGGAGGATTAGGGAACAGAGTTGGGGAGTTCAGGAAGAAGTTGAAGATTGCCGATGTGAAAGGCGGTGCTAATGAAGGTTTGGACCGTGTGGGTCAGAATGTGGTTTTGATGGGTTGGGTTAGGACACTTCGGTTGCAGAGCAGCGTCACATTCATGGAGGTAAAGGTTTGAGCTTTGACATATGGGTAATGGCTTTTTGAAGCAATTCAGTGATGGAGAACTGAATTTTGTTTCTAGGTTAACGATGGTTCTTGCTTGTCGAACATGCAATGCGTACTGAACCCAGAAGCTGAAGGCTATGATCAGGTATTAAGATGGAACTGTAAACTATGAACCCTAGAATTATCCAATGTGCTGTGTGCAAGCTAGTAGCAACTGTTTGATTGGAATTGCTCACTATTGTGCTCTATTATGCGCAGTTCCGCTGCAAGTGACATGTAATCTTAGTTCGGTGTCGCTTATGTTAGAGATTGATATTTTAATCGCAGGTAGAGTCTGGTTCCATAGCTACTGGTGCGTCATTATGTGTACAAGGAACTATAGTTGAGAGCCAGGGGTCGAAGCAGAAAGTGGAACTGAAGGTCAACAAAATTGTACTGGTATGCTACATGACTAGACTACAGAAGCAGTTCATGCTTTGCTTAATGAATAACACCTCCGCTCTACTGTTACACTCACAATGTTCATTAAATAGGTTGGCCAGAGTGATCCATCATATCCAATGCAGAAGAAAAGAGCCACCAAAGAATTTCTGAGAACAAAAGCTCATCTTCGTCCTAGAACAAACACATTCAGTGCGGTATGTTTCTTCTGCTTAATTATGAATCATTATGTGTAGAGACTGAGTTTTTCAAGTCCACTGTTGTTTAGCACCCAAAGAGAGAGTGATTTGTGATTTCTTATGGTTGGGAGTAATGAAGTTCTTTTTCTCCCTTCTTCTATAAAGTCCTGAACCGATGTTTATGATTTTGGAATGACGGAAATTTGTTTAGGTTGCACGGGTGAGGAATGCTTTAGCATATGCTACCCACAAGTTTTTTCAAGAAAATGGGTTTGTTTGGGTCTCGAGTCCTATCATCACAGCCTCAGATTGTGAAGGAGCTGGTGAACAGTTCTGTGTAACTACATTGGTATGCTCCTCATCCTTCTTAGCTATGTCATCATTCTTCATTGTTCATTTGGCTGTTTACTCTAAATTGCTGCTGTGATCTTGTGTTAATGCACAGATTCCGAGCTCTCAAGAAGTGACTGAATCACCTGTAGATGGCATTCCCAAGACAAAGGATGGATTGATTGATTGGTCGCAGGTGAGTTTCTATAAGCTTTTCTCTGATGGTACATCTTTACTATTCGGATCACATTCCTGTATAAACTTTCTCAATAGCTAGCCAATGAATTTATCCTTTTCAATCCATACTTTAGCTTCTTGCACTGAATGTAATTATGCCTCTATTGTATGACTATCGTTCTTGTTCAGGACTTTTTTGGAAAACCGGCATTTTTGACAGTGTCTGGCCAGCTCAATGCTGAAACATATGCTACTGCTCTCTCAGATGTAAACTCTCTCAACATGTTTTTGTTAGTGAATTAGACCATTCATCTTGTCACCTTAATATTTCTCTCTTTTTCTCACGGTATACATTTTCTCAGGTATATACATTTGGTCCAACATTTCGTGCAGAGAACTCCAACACTTCTAGACACTTGGCAGAGTTTTGGGTAAAACCATTATTTTTCAATTCTCCTTTTGATAATCTAATTACCATTCTCATTTGTGTGTTTGAACGTCTTATAACCCCCATTCTATTTTGTCTAATTAAGATGATTGAACCAGAACTTGCGTTTGCGGATCTTAATGATGACATGGCTTGTGCAACTGCCTATCTCCAGTATGTAGTATGTCCCTTTTTCCAAATCTTCATTGGGTGTCACGAAATGTAAAATACATGCATCCTGCTTTGAGTAACCAATGGATGCCTTCTGTATTTGTGTGGCAGGTGAGACATATCCTTGAAAATTGTAAGGAGGACATGGAATTTTTCAATACTTGGATCGAGAAGGGGATCATTGATCGCTTAACAGTATGAGCTCTCAAGTCTAGGTTATCTTATTTTAACCTTCCTGTGAATATAACATCTAAATTGATGCTTGATCTACAGGATGTGGCTGAAAAGGAATTTGTGCAGTTGACATACACTGATGCAATTGAACTTCTTCTTAAAACAGATAAGAAGTTTGAATTTCCGGTACATTAAAGTTTCTCTGCTGACTTAGTCCCATCAAATCCTAGTTATGAAACTGGACTTAGAATGGGTTTGTTGGTGTGGTTTGTAGGTGGCATGGGGATGTGATTTGCAGAGTGAGCATGAGCGCTATATAACTGAAAAAGCATTTGGCGGATGCCCTGTCATAATTAGGGACTACCCAAAGGCTCGTGCTTTAACTTTCCGACTCTTCTTTTCTGCCTTATGAAAGAAGAAAAATCATTATTTGGTATTCACACAATCTTTCTTCACTTCTTCCAGGAGATCAAGGCATTTTATATGCGTCAAAATGATGATGGAAAAACTGTAGCTGCCATGGATTTGTTGGTTCCTCGGGTAATAAATCATTACTTTATCACATACGCTGCACCCACTTCTTCTCCCTGCGCCATGTTTGATGAAAAAGGAACCTTCTTGCTCCAGTGCCTTCAAGGGCACTCTATTAGGCATTGAACTATTTGTTATTTACATACAGAATTTTCGTTTTTTATATATATTGTGGTCAGATCGGGGAGCTGGTTGGCGGAAGCCAAAGAGAAGAACGGCTTGGATATCTAGAAGATCGTTTGGAGGAATTGAAGCTCAACAAGGAGAGCTACTGGTGGTACCTCGATTTGCGGCGTTATGGTTCAGGTTGGTTGCTTGATGATGTTGTTAAGTGCAGTGTACATAGAGAGGGTATTGATGGGTTATGAACCAGTACTTCACTTTTCTGTTACGGTTGCAGTTCCTCATGCCGGGTTTGGAGTTGGATTTGAGAGGCTAGTGCAGTTCGCCACTGGATTAGACAATATCAGAGACACCATACCATTCCCTCGGTCGCCTGGCTCGGCCGAGTTCTGATTCGAGTAAAGAGTTTGACAATACTAGGTTCATTACGAATAAAAGATCCCAAAGTTAAAATACTCATTCTTGTGTTGTTTCATGTACATTACCACTTGTTTCAGGATTTCATTCTAACGCGGTTCTTGGTCCACTGCGATAATTTAATGGCCACTTCCTGTAAGATGGGAAAAAGGCAAGTATTTTTGTTGTTAACAGTTGTTACCCGTGTTAACTGTAAGGACCGAAGACGAAATGACTAACCAGATTTTGTCGTTTAGTTCTGATTTGTCTTGTAATGCGTCCCAATGTAAATGAGATTATGAGGGGCGGTGAAAAAATTCAAAACTACCACTGTTTTAAAAAAAATTTACAAAATACCAAGAATTTCCAAGAATTTCCAAATCTACCACTGTTTACAGGGATGGTGGTAGGTTTGGAAATTCTTGGGAATTGGTGATATTTTTGAAAAAAAAAAATTAAAACAGTGGTAGTTTTGGATTTTTCCCCCTATTTAGTGTATTCTAATTAGGCTTAATGGCAAGTTTGGTCACTCGAATTGCTATAAAATTTCACGTTTGCCACTCAAATTAATTTATTCCATTTATAGTCACTCGAATTAGTTGAACAGTTCAAGTTCGGTCACTCTCCGTTAACCTCCGTTAACTTTGACTGACGTGGCGGTCAACTCTGACAATTGACCGTTAAATGTGTGACGTGGCAAATAAAAAATAATTAAAAAATAAAAAATAATTTTTTAGAAATTACACGTCATTATCACAAAAAAATTATAATTGTAAAAAATGAAAAACAAAATATCACAAAAATCGCGCAGCTGAATTGCAAAGGAAGACGTACGTATATGGAAAAGAAGGAAGCTGACATCGTCCAGAAAGCCGCCACTGGAATATTCCTGCGGTTGCCCACTCCCATAGCCCATCTGACTTCAATGTCTCCGATAGTCGCAGTCGCCGGAGGTTGGAGCTGATCCAGGAGCTGTTCGAAGGGGGATTCCATCTCTGTCATCACAGCTTCATAGAATCCAGGAAAATCACCAGCTTTCAGGCGCTCTGGTGGAATGACGTTAGCTATGGTTCTAAACTGAACTATCTCTTTCACTTCGGCGTTCTCACAATCCATGAACTTCTTCACAATTCCCGCCACTCGCTCTCTACCCATCCAAGCTTCCTCCTTCACCTTCCACCCGATCCTCCAATCCTCGACGATCACCTTGCTGCTGTGCAATTGGTCGATGCCGAGAGGCCACGTTAGCATCGGAACCCCGGCATAGAGCACGCATTCCTGCACGGAGTTCCATCCGCAGTGTGTCCAGAACCCGCCTACCGAAGGGTGGTGAAGCACCTTCAACTGTTCACACCATGGCACCATGAGTCCCCTGTCGCCTCCCCAGGCCTTCTGCAGTCTCGTCGCCTCGCCACGAGCCACCCACAGGAACCGAACCCCGCTCTGGCTCAAACCTGCCGCGATTTCCTCCACCTGTGTTGCTGGAAAGGACAAGTAGCTGCCCATGGAGACATACAGAACTGACCTCGCTGGTTGCAGGTCCAGCCATCTCAGGTAGTCAAGTTGTTCGTCGCTCTCCGTTTCCATGTTGTATCATCTGGACGATGTCAGCTTCCTTCTCTCCCTCCTGCCCCGCCACCGTCTCCGCCTCCTCCGCCTCCACCGCCATTACCATTGGAATTCGTTAATAAAGATAGATCTAATAACAATCCAGGGAATGGATGGGGATCGTCTGCGTCAAGCCGGCCGCCGACGGCGCCAAGAGAGAAAACTACCGAAAACAGAGGATGGGGAACAAAAACAGAGGAGAATCACTGGGACAAGGTTGGGGCTAATAGCCATGATCATTCAGTCGTTTGGGATGAACTTGAAGAACAGGGGTTCCATGGGCAAGGAGTCATTTTGCTTGAGTCAGTCAAGTCCTGTTGAAGGACCTCTTACAACATTGAGAGCTCCCAATTCCAGTTTTTTTGTACATGGTTTTCTGACTTCCTCCTCTCTCCCCTTTAGACTTCGAATGCTGTGGGAAATAGATTAGCCGTTTGGTTTGTACTTGTTCTATCGGGAGTTTTCTCCATTTGTTTGTAAACCATACTCTTATACTCTTATGCCTCGGTTCCCTCGATTTGTTCGAGCTGGGGATTTGTCAATTTAGTTCATGTTTCTCAGAGGTTGAGGGGCCTCTTGAATCGTTGCTACAGGTTCAGTTGCTATGTATCTTCATTCTCTCCTTTCTTCTCTGCGTGTAAGCATTTCTGTAGCCATATACGTACGTCTTCCTTTGCAATTCAGCTGCGCGATTTTTGTGATATTTTTTTTTCATTTTTTACAATTATAATTTTTTTTTTGTGATAGTGACGTGTAATTTCTAAAAAATTATTTTTTATTTTTTAATTATTTTTTATTTGCCACGTCACACATTTAACGGTCAACTGTCAGAGTTGACCGCCACGTCAGTCAAAGTTAACGGAGGTTAACGGAGAGTGACCGAACTTGAATTGTTCAACTAATTCGAGTGACTATAAATGGAATAAATTAATTTGAGTGGCAAACGTGAAATTTTATAGCAATTCGAGTGACCAAACTTGCAATTAAGCCATTCTAATTAGCAATGCGATAAAAAAGCTGATTGTACGTAGAAATTGTTTTGGCAATTTAGAAGTACAAAATCGTAAATTTTTAAGCTTTAAAAATAATTTTTAAAGCGCAATTTGAACTATATTAATCATGAGTGGATAACTAGCAAAAAGCTACGCAAGCCAACAATTTTGTTTAGGAATGACAAGACTGTAATCTCAGTATTCATACTCACTTTGTATTGAGCATAGGTCAAATCTCCAGACCATAAGCCTTCATCAGACTACAAATTTGGGGTTATAAGAAAATTTGGGGGTTAATTGCATGGTTGGTCACTGAGATTACAAAAAACGTTCATGTTTGGTCACTATAAATATTTAAATCCAATCTTGGTCACTCAAATTAGTTAAATGGTTCAAGCTTGGTCACTCTCCGTTCAACTCCGTTAAATTTGTCTCATGTGGCAGTCAACCCTCAAAGTTGACCGTTAACTCAGTGACGTGGCAATTAAAAAATAATAAATAAAATAAATTTTAATCTTCTACTATTTCCAACTCATTTTTACATTAAAGTAAAATAAATAAAACAAAAAAATATTTTAATTACAAATTGAAAAGGGCAGAGTTCCCGTTCATCTGTTTATTGAAGAGCTTGAGCTCGTACAAGTTGGGGGAGCTGGCTATACTCTCGGGCAGGCTCCCTTGAATCCGATTCTCGAACAAATTGAGCGACTCGAGGTCCAGCCCACAGAGCTCGTCGGGAATGGTCCCGGTCAAGTCGTTCATGGAGGCGTCGAAACGCCTCCAGGTCGTGAGATTGGAGAAGCCCTGGGGCAGAGCGCCGGTGAGAGAGTTGTTGTAGAGCCGGAGCACGGAACAGCCTTATCTACGACGGCGACGGAGAGATCGGAGCTAGTCAAGAGCTGTCGAGCGATCGTCAATCCGATGATTCCGGCGCCTATAACGACGACGTCGAAGGTGTGGAAAGAAGCAGAGGCGGTGGGGCTGAATCGGAGAGCCCGGCCGCGACATCGATGTGTCGCCGGTGAGCAGGAAAGCGATTTGGCGGGGAGTTTGGAGCCGAAGAAGGCGGATTCTGTGTTATAGCCGTTGGGGAAGGCAAGTGAACCGCGGCGGGAGCGTGGAAGAGAAGCGACATCGCGGTATTGGGGAGAAGAACAAGTCCACGAACGGGGGAGCGATAGCGCCGGAGAAGCCATTTTTGTTTGGGATAGTGCGTTTGAAAAATGAACAAATGGCAGCGGAGCGGTTTTAGCTTTGGGACTGTGGGAAGAAGAACGACTGTGGGAGGAGACCAGAGAAGTGCTGACTGAGTTAACTCTTAACAGTCAGATGAATGAAAGTGATTGACACTCAGTTGTTAAAGAATAAAATTAAAATTCAATAATCTGAAAGTGATTACCTGCGCCGGTAGCACCGGAGCACGGAATAGCCTTATCTACGACGGCGACGGAGAGATTGGAGCTAGTCAAGAGCTGTCGAGCGATCGTCAATCCGATGATTCTGGCGCCTATAACGACGACGTCGAAGGTATTGAAAGAAGCAGAGGCGGCGGGGCTGAATCGGAGAGCCCCTTTTCAATTTGTAATTATAATATTTTTTTATTTTTTTATTTTATTTTAGTGTGAAAATGAGTTGGAAATGATAGAAGATTATAATTTATTTTATTTATTATTTTTTAATTGCCACATCACCGAGTTAACGGTCAACTTTGAGGGTTGACTGCCACATCAGATAAATTTAACGGAGTTGGACGGAAAGTGACCAAACTTGAACCATTTAACTAATTTGAGTGACCAATATTGGATTTAAATATTTACAGTGACCAAATATGAACGTTTTTTGTAATCTCAGTGACCAACCATGCAATTAACCCGAAAATTTGGCAGTCACAACAGACATAGAATCCTCTGTTAACTCCACATGGGGTAAAGTAAAACTACAAAATTCTGAACTATATATAGCAGGAAGTTAAGAATACATATATTGAAAAAAAATACAAGAAACAAGGCGTTTTATTTTGTGTCAAATAAGTACACCAATTCCATTTTCCCCCACCCTTTTATTTCTCCCCTTGAGAAGGATCTTTCAGGAAGAGAGCTCCCTATCTTGTTCTACCTATCCTTAATTTTCTCTTTTGGTCTCCCCCTGTTTTTTCAACAAATCAACAAATCAAACTGTACAACTTTCTTCGATCCCTCTCCTCTTCTTCCACAAGGGTTACAACAGACTCAGCAGTCTGCCACCAAAGCCCTCCCCATAGCTTCTCGTCTTCTTCGCATATTCAAGAGAGGAAAATACCAAAAGGCCATATATGCTTTCTAAGATTACAGAAAATTGGAAATGCTTAGTTCCCCAACTGAGCTTCAAGCTTAAACATTAGGACGGGGTCAAAGAAGACCATGTGGAATTCTTCAAAAACCATACTTTCATATGCTTCTTGTGCTTCACGTATTAGTGCTCTTACACAGAGCCTTTGCAGTAGTCCCTGCATGGTCTGATCGCGATAAACAAAACTTGGATGTCTTATGAATCTCCCAGCTGATGCCTTGTCACTCAAAGTTCAACTTCCTGGAGATCGCCAAAGCTGCCTCCATTTGTTGGCATCTGAGGCGTCGAAGGGTCACTACCTGGCATCAAAGGAGGGCCTGCTGGCAGTGGCATGCCGAGAGAAGGTTTTATCTCTGTTGTGGCCCTTGGCGGGCTGAACGACGGATTGAAAGTACCACTCCAAGATGCCGTTCGTCGAGATAGAGATTGGGGTGCACCACCGTTGACATTTAAGCCGCCAACTCTCCCTCCTTTGGCAATGTTGTCCATGCTTGGGAACCTTTGCATGGAAGATGCCATAGGAGGCTGGAAAGTTGGCGAAGAAGCTGTGGGAGGAGACTGAAAAGAATCATTCATGGAGGATGTTGAAGGCATCTCACTTGCTGCTGCTTGAGCATTGTTTTGCACATTTTCTGCCGCCACAGATTCAGCCAACAAATTATCGGCAGAAGGAGCAGGTGAAGGAACAAAGAACTTGGTGTTCATGGAGACAGCAGGTTTGGGAGCTGGTATGGGTGATGAGTGGAACGCGTTTGCTGCTGCGCCTCCACCACCTTGGTTGAAGGTGTCCACATACCTGTCCAAGCGGGATTATTACACTCAGCAGCTATTCTGGATTGAACTTCTAGGTGCAAGAATGGAAAGATAGACTGGATCAAAATGGTCTTATTTCCAACTCTACCTCGCTCGTACGCCCATTCTTCCACGGGCTGAAAATTGATTTGAGCTAGTGGGAATAGGAGGGATGCCTGAACTATGTTCTTGCATAACTGAACTCCGGAATTTGGGGCTCCCACTAGATGGAGAACCCTCGCTCTTCAGTGCAGATTTCAAGTTATAGTCCGAGGTTCCATTCTGAAACACTGCAGTAGTTGGTGGAGGTGGCAGGGCAGCTTCCTCGGCTGGGGGTTCTACACCTTCTTCCACCCATCTCTTGAGTTTTTCGTCGTAATAGAATTTGTTCTTTTCACCTAACTTGGCCTTCACCAATGACCAACATAAGATAACATCTTCTCAGAGACTCACTACTTCCAAGTAAAATATAAAGCTCAACTTGACGAACATAAGATAACATCAGAAACTTGGATCTCGAGTAATTGTGTTTCTACTTCCAAGTAGAATATAAGGGACAAGTTACCTGTTTATCTGAGCGGGGCCGTAACACTAGACCCACGGTCTTCTGCAGCAGTTGTGAACCAAAAGCAAAACGACCCAAGCGAGATCCTCCTGTTGAACTAGGCGTCTTGTCTTGGGAAGTGGATGGGGGTCCAGCTGTCGACGAATCAGCCTGGCCCTAGCAATACAGAAATCGGTAATTTTGATGCAGTAAGAACAGAGGAAAGAGACAGAAACATCATCAACTGAGAAACCACACATTTGCCAATTTGAAGACTAAATCACAAACCTGTCTTGGTGTTCTTCCAAAGTCGGGCTCCGAGACACTCCTTGAATGTCTTCCCATTTTATTGCCATCAGCTGCCCATTCGCTTATGGGTTCCATTGAAGCAGACGGTACTAGTGTGGACATAGCCATCGTTGATTGACTAGCAGCGACTCGAGGCGCCATCAGTTGCTGATCATGTTCATGGCTATGTAGACCATGCGATGTTGATGGTGCTGGTGGTGGCAGACCACCAACAACACGGTGTGCGGTGCTATCAAAGAAGTTGAGCAGTTTACCAACTAGCTTTGCTGGTGCCAAGTTTGTAGCATATCCACCCTGAAAGAGAGAGCAATTGGTTAATACACAGTTGGAAGAGAAGACGAAGCACCATTTGGTTCAAAATCACATACCTGTTGATGTATTCTAATCCTTTCTTCAAGGGACGACAATAATTGTTTCCAAGTCTCTATTTCAGGAGCTCGACCAGTTTTCAGAGATTTCGAGACTGCTTGACAGTACCTGAATCAATTCTCAACATTAAGAAAATTGGAGAATGAGAAATGGCAGGTACTTGACAAATACTTTTATCCACTTACTTCAAAGAATCTGAGACTCTGCCTACTTCAGCCAGCATGTATGCATAAACAAGCTTATATGGCTGAAACGGCTGCAAGATGAACTGGGAGTTACCTAACACCTTAGAGTATTCATAAAGCTCTGTTCTCTGCACATACATTGATCAAATACTTTAATCAAAATCCAGAGTAAGTATACAAACATATCATGAGTCTGCTAAGGATAATTAGCCTTCAAGGAACAAAATAATCAAGCTGAAAATAGACGGAAACAAGAAAAATCAGCAAACCTCTGGCTTAATCCCTAAAAGCAAGAACCAGTAAGGAAACAAGGCGGTGAAAAACTAAATCATATTCAGGGAAATTTCATTGTTTATAAAAATCTAAAGGAGATCCTGGGCCAAAAATTTTACCATCCAGACTCTTTTTTTTTTTTTTTTTTTTTTTTGTGAACCAAGTAGTGATAGAAAAAATTCTCCAAAAGAAGGCAAAATCCACATACGGTATAATAAACAGATCATGAAGCAGCCCCATAGTTCGACATGCTAGACCCCTTTAGCAAAGCCACATTTCGACAAAGACTTTGCAAACCCCTCTCAAATCAGTACTCATCTTTGCATGTTCATTAACACAACTCAGTGCGTCACTAATGCATTGAGGTTCAAATAAAATTAGGATACCGGCAGTGTACAGTCACAAGTCAGCTTACAGTCACAAATAACATTATAACAAACAAGAGAATCTAGAATAGCAATTTCCAGTCGAAGAACATGTCCGAAACCCCAAAGAAATTGGTTGCAAGGTCAAGAGAAAAACATGCCAGACAGTCCAGCATAAGAACCTTGCAACTTCATGATAAAATAGGTAAACGTTCCAGACTCAAGTCATCAGATCATGAAACGAATAATGATTTTTGGCCTCCTACTGAAGTTCTCGCATAGAACAGTGAGCTTACAGATAATAACATATCCACTATCCAGTCCTTTGGGAGACTTAGCATACTTTAATTGGTGAAAACTGAAAAGAAGCTAAATCAATCTAACCTGAATAGCCTCTGGGCTAGCAAAAGTACGAGGATGCTTCCAGTGATCTGCACCAATAAGACACATCCTTGCAGTGTCTGAATATGACTCAAAGTTCGCTTCAGCAACTAAATAGCATATATGTGCTGCTACAATCTGTCCAATCACCTCAAGTAAGATCGAGGAAGAGGAATTTCCAGCTGGTAATGATAGAGTGATTTAAGGAAAAACAAACAGTGTACCTCACTTCTATCCTTCCACAGGCAGTCTCCAAGATGTATGATGACAAGCTCATCATCTTTCGTTCTATTTGCAGTTATTAAAGCCAAATTCTGTTCCCAATCATCCAGCATGCTATTTGCTCCAGGCTGTGAGCAATGACCAATAACAGAAAAAAATACATGTTCAAATGAAATCAATCGACTTTTTACTTGCATTTGCTCACACAGAACCTAGAAAATATCCATATATGGCAAAATGATAAAACAGAAACAGAAGTTCATCAGGTACATGTCCTGGACAACCAAAACCAATTGTGGAAACCTTCTTACGATACTGTGAGGTAGCTCTGTATGCAGGGTTCATGTGAACTGGGTTATTATCTACCCTTCAGGAGCTGAAGGCACCAGACAAACTAGTTGTGACATCTTTATGATTTCATGTAGGACTACCTGAAGTGTCTCCTCGGCAAGCAAGCATACTTGGAGAACCGGAAAACAATTCTCTTATTATTTTCCCATTCTCTCAATCACATGTGCACATATGAAGTATAATTTACGTTCTTACTGAATCATTTAAAAGTCTTGCTGGATACCAGTCTACATGGAATAGCAAAATGGAGCAAATATAATGCACACTCCACTACTGACCTGCAAAGGTTGTTGAGTGCCAACTGCAGCACCAAAAGGACCACCATCAGATCTAGTACCCGAGGAAAAAACTTCTGCTGGTTGCCCAGCAATAAGAAGACACAATGTCCGCAAAGGTGACCCTGGCAACAATTGGCGTAATGCCATCTGCTTCACTGTATCAACGTAGAACTACATTCCAACAGAAAGATGAACAAAAGTCAGCCTACCTAGATGAGGGTTAAGAAGAAGAAAAAAATCAAGGCAAGCAGAAAGAAGGATGCAAAACCTGATCTCCGAGCTGTGATGCAAGCACAAGTGCAGGTCCCCACAACTGACCTTCTTGTGCATATTGTAAAGCTTCTTTTTTTCTACCAGAAACCAGAAGATTTTGTACCTCAGAAGCAGATGCCTATCACAAAAACAAAGTTCTTTCACAACATGCCAGGAGCCCTTTAATCTGAAAACCATTGCAATATGAATTAAGTCATACCCGAAGTTGCGATTCAGAGGGCAAATTTAGCAAGCAGTTGCTAAGAGTACCATACTCATTGAACTGCTTCTTGGTAGACGAAAAAAGTTTCGCAACAGCTGATTCTGGAGTATCACTTTCCTATAAGAACAGAAAGTCAATATGAAGGGACAGGTTAGTGATTTCACGAACATGCTTTCAGAAAGAATATTGCAGCAGGACAACATAAACGCCTGATATACTGTTTTGCAAAATGGGTATTAACCATTTACTTTGTTGCATATATGATTGTGCATTTGTTAATGTTTCACAAGAAAAAACTTCTTCAGGAGTAGTTCCTTGAGCACCTCTACATAGGCCAAAACCACAGACCCATTAAGTTTGTAATACAAATATTTAAATTGTGCAAGCATTTGACAAGCCATCATCAAGAAAAACCAGTTGTGGTAGGAAAAAAATGAGTAAAGTAAAAGCATATAGGAGCTAACAACCAAGCTACAAATTTGACTAGGCATTGCTCGTGCATACAGATGAACTTTAGAAAATTAATTCAATCAGCTCCTTTTGAAAGTGAAGAAGATACATTAATTACCTTCGAAGATGTGTCTGATCCAAAGGGAGACCGAAGTTTTCCATAATGCTGACAAGCTATTTTAAGCAAAGATAGGAGAAGCTTCAACACTTCGCCTTTTCTGTAATCCATATCGGGGGATTCACAGTTGGCAATCCTCTCATCAATCCATTTATTAAAATCCTTACTTCCAACATTCCCACCCACCAGGGGTCCAGGGAAAGATTGTTGGCAGAGAGGGCGGAAATAATTGCAGGATGTGCCTCCAACAGTTGACATATTGTCAGGACTGCTCCCAGAAACAACCTCCATTAAATTCATAACAGAAATTGAACCCCCACCAGCATCCTTTTCAGACAAACAGAGAGACATAATTAGCAAACAAGCACAGGAAAAAGTTCATCTCGTTTAATTTATCAAACAACTAATTGTTATGAATAATTTTTCTGTCCCTCCTCCAGTTTAATGCTTAACTACACAGAATTGCTCAAATTAAATATGTCAAAAGGACTCACCTGAGTTCCAAATGAAGTGTTCCCAAGGGTACTATCTTTCATTACAACAAGCTTTCCACCAAATCCAAAAGATACCAGTGCATGTGGAGGACGGCCAGCAGAAGATCTTCCTGTTCCTGGCTGATAAGAAATTTGCTGACTGTTCTGATATGATTGCTCTGTAAAACTCACTGGTTTTTTACTGCCATAAAAGTCATTTGAAAAACTCATCTGCTCATTCTGCTTCAAATTTCCCTGGTTAAACTGCTGACTAAAGTTGCCACCATAATTTTGTGAACCCGAAAACCCATTGCCATCAAGATGACCTTGCATTGACTTATCATACGAGGCAACAGTTCCCAAGGTATTAAAGGAATTTTGATTATCAAGATGATTGCCAATGGACACATTGGAGCCATAGGAGTTCTGCAACTGCTGCTTTTGACCAAAATCAGGACTGAAATTGCTCTTGGAACCACTATCAGCTTGCCACATGTTATAGCTTCCATGTGACTCGCCCCCGCTGACCTCTTGTCCTTGGCTAGTGTAAGCATTTGAAGCATATTTCTCTGGTTGTCCAAATTCCCCATATGCATCACTACCATTCTGCGAATAAGCACTGTTGAAACCAAACCCATTCTGATTCTGTTGCTCATGTGCTTGGGGAATCACTGATTGTACTGATGAAACATAGCTCTCTAAGGAACGCCATTCTTGTGCGATTGTGTCGTAGTACCAACCGGGATATTGTGGATCAAAATACATATGTTCTGGATAACCATTATTACTTACTTGAGATACCTGATTCCAGGTAGACACATTCTCCGTTGTGCTTGTATCAGCCACAGTCGCAGCAACAGAATGTGAGCTCTGCTGCAAGAAATTAACCTCTCCTTTACCATCAGCAGCACCCGGCCATTCACTTCCCGAATTAGCATTGTAGCTCTCTTGGAGACCTACTGTTGCACCATAACTATCTACTTGGTACCACTGCCCAGTGTTCATATCATATTTCCACCCAGGATACATACTTTCCCAGTACTGAGTGCTATTAACATCCTGCCTGTTTACGTTTTCCTGCAAATAACCTCCATGACCTTGTGTACCGTCTTGATACTGCTCATAACTAACAGAATTCCTGATTTCCCCGACTGCATTAGTTTCTACATTCGTGCTTCCACCAACTTTTGCAATAGAATCATCAGAATGCCCCTCCAACTCACTGAAAAAATCAGAGCACGAACCAAACTCATTATTTCCATTTGGTGCTGAACCAGCATACAATGAACCCCAACCCACCTCCTTAGCCCCTGACCTCGTGGATCCAACATCAGTCATTGGATCTAGATCAGGTGCAACCTTCGATTTCAACCCATCATTACTAGAATCCACTGCATTGCCAGACCCAGAGGGGTTCAATGCATCACTCTCCTCCGTCGGAGACCCAGAAATTCCAGCAGGCACATCCCCCGAATTCCCATCATCTCTCACCTCCTCCTCCACAACTCCACCGTCCTCGCCGCCACCGTTGACGTCCTCAATGCTCAGATTAGCAAACGCCTTGGCCTCATCGGAATCACTCCCCTCAGAGAATTTGCTCACCTGGGCGGCATCGGAGCTGGTAGGCCCAAAATCATCGTCGACTAATTTGTCGAAGAAATCCTCGTCAGTTTGATCCTCCATCACTTGGAATGGAGGATTGGAAGCCATAAAAAAAATCAAGCCCCAAAAAAAACCTCCACGATCAGCCCAAAAAAAAATTTCGACAAAAAAAAAATCACCAACGCCCAGACTCTCTTCCCCCCTGCTCCCTCCCAATCTCGAGACGCGAGCCCCCTCGAGATCCGGCACTTAAAACCCTAAATCAAAGCTGTACAACACACGAAATTGACAAGATCTAGGGTTTATGAAGCACGAGGAAGAAAGGCGTCAACTCCGAAATTCCGCAACGCACATTGGATTTCTCAACAGCGTGACACCACCATCGGCACCAGGAAGAAAGGACTTAACGGAATTGCGGATCAATTGGAGAGGGATTTTTATTGCAGAAGCTGGATTGGAGAAGAAGGTGATTCAGGGATTGAAACGAGATGTAGAGAGAGCGAGCGAGCGGGGAAGGGGAGGAGAATGGGAGAAGAAGCGGCCAATTTCCGCACCAGCAAAAACAACTCCTCCAGACAGGAGAAGAGAGAGCTTCGTTTTCATTCTTCTTTTTTGGTCTTCGTTACTTTAATTTTCTGGTTTATTTGGTTTTCTATTTCTGTCTGTTATTTTATTTATTTTTTCCTTTTGCAGTTTTTCTTTGACTTGCCTCAAATCTAGCTCACTTCGTGTGTGCTCGTGGCAGGCTTCAGTTTTGGTTTTCCTTTTTTCTTTTTAATATTATCTCTAAATATTTCCACCGTTAGATTTAACCTTTGATGTACATCATTGTGTTTAGCTAGTTATGTCACTAAGTTTAGGTAGTTAAAAGTAAAACGATGGATATTAGTATTTCAAGTCCATATACTTTGCGCGATTAACAATCAAGTACTAAAATTATTCTTCTTGTCTGAAACATTCCAACATCGTATTGACATACATGTTATTTTCTTTCTTTGTTTTAATGCTTTCGGTCTTCTGTAAACAATTTCATCAAAATAATTATATATTGAGATCGGATCAGTTCGAGGTGGCATCTTTCGTATGGCTTATTTGTCACATATAACGCAAACTCACTGTTTTGTAATGCTATTTCATATCATCTATTTTATACTCTATGTCGAGCATATTACTCATCTAAAACTTAATAAGATCGTCATAAGAGAAACTTGTTTCTAAAATCTATAAGTTTTAAGCCATTATAAATCTGATTACTATATATGAACCGACTTCACGAGTTAAGAATTGGTCTATTAATAAAGGATTTTGTCTATTAGAAAACAAATACTGTAAGACCAACTAGAGATGGCAAAGTGAATCTAATCCAACTATCAAAAAATTCAATTAATCCAATCCAATAGATTAGTGAATTCATAAATTGTTATCAAATTACGGTTTAATACCTATATTTTTTCATAAGGATGATATAAGTTTCATTCTTTTTATTAAGGTACTACTTAAAGGATTCGAACATGGGACCTCCAGGTTCTAGACTAATGGTAGTACCACTGGCCAAGCCCTTGTTCGTTTAATACCTATATATTTTTACATTCTTTCTACCGTACTGTTAGATCCTATTGAATAGATACTACTTATTCTAGTTTGTTCATTTGACCTAAGACACGCAATTGGAATTTGTTTTTTCAGAGGCTTGGATTAACAAAAAAAAACATATACTTGACAATCTGTATTTTACCTAAAAATTTTAGAATGACATTTTAGTATCCAGACGTTTCAAAATGGTCCAAAAGTTAGATGTCGTTTTGACCCACAATTCCACAAACCATTTAATCTAATTTCTGAATTCACAAATTCATAAATCCAATTTACTGTAAATCCAATCAATTTGCCACCTTTAGAATCGATGTAGGCTAATAAACCTCAATTGGTCATTAACCCTCTAATAATAACCATTTTAATTGAAATACTCACTTCTTCCATCATACTAACATCCAGAGGAGGAGACGTAATATTATCCCCTCTCTCTGAGATGATACTTGATACATGCATTTCGATGAACAATCAAAGACATTGGTTGGGATCACATACTTTGCACAACTCTTTACATCCAATGGAGCTCCAACCCAAATGCTTACTGATAATCTAGGTCTTCAACCCAAGGTCATCGCTCATATGAATTCTTGTCTCATTCTGATCATGACGATAAAGTCAAATAAAATGATGTATTCCATATTGGAGCTCGTCAAGCTCATGGCCTAGACGGGTTCACATGTCATTTATTTCAAACCTTCTATGATGTAGTAGGAGAATCTGTGGGTGAAGTTGTATGATCCTTCTTCAGATCGGGGAGATTATTACGTAACTTTAATCGTACTCTTATTACTCTTATCCCCAAAGTGACTAACATAGAGTCCATGAGACAATGCACCCCATAGGCCTCTGTCAAGTATTCTATAAAATCATTTTCAAAATTATGTTAGATCGCCTTAGTCAGTACCTCCCTGATATTATGACTCCAACCAAAATGACTTTGTGAGGGATAGAGATATCACATATAATATACGCATCAGTCAAGAAGTGATGCAAGTCCTCAAAACAAAACCAGATGAAAATACAAATGGGCATGCTTAAATTGACATAAAAAGTATATGGGCGGCTAAAATGACCTTTCTTTATTGAAAAAAAAATATTTGGGTTTCTATGATTGTTGCCTCCAATGGATTTAACTTTTTGTAACTACAGTTTCCTATTTTTCGCTCTTGATAGTTCTGTAGATATTTTCACTCTCAACGAGGGCTGAGACAAGGGAGCCCATCCTTCCTCCTCCCCCCCCCCCCCCTACTTTTTGTTATTTATACTGAAGCATTTTCCTCCATGCTAGAGGAAGCTACCTCAAAACTATCGCTCCATGGATTGAGAGTTCATAGGTCAGTTCCATTAGAACCACACTATCATGATTTGCATATGACTCATATATATTGATGAGAGCATATAAACTTGAGTAATCTACTGAACATACTCCACATTTATGAAGCTAATAGTGGATGAGTAAATCTTCAAAAATTTGCATTCTCTTGTAGCTCAAATGTCTCCAACTTAGAAGCTTCACAACTTCCCAGTGCCTTGGTAGTAACAAGGATCATAACCCATGATAAATATCTTGGCATCGTTTCTTAGGTGCATTGTTCCCAAATTCTTACATTTTGATACATCGAGGAATCCTTGACGATTCGCGTCCAAAGTTGGAAATCAAAATAAATGTCTCTAGTAACCAAAGAGGTGGTCATCAAATTCACAAGTAGTGTCACTCCAATAATCGCAGTATCATGCTTTAGACTAACATATGCATTATGCCATAGAATGAATGGCTAACACTCTCGCTTTTGGTGTGCTTATCAACACAAAGATGGTGGTATGCACTAGATATTTTCTCCAAAAGTGTTAAATAGTAAATTTGAGTCTGATTAGGTTTTGTGACTTTGGTAGATTTAACATATTTGGGTATATAGTAAATTTGAGTCTGATTAGGTTTTTGTGACTTCGGTAGATTTAACATATTTGTGTTAACCAAACAAGTTTGGAGAATTTTGCTAGACCCTCAGATCACATAGACCAAAATTTACAGGGACAAACATCACCCGAATTACCACTTCCTGATGGCTAGAGCAGGGCATCGTTCTTCTTGGGGTTGACAAGGTATATTGGAAGGTAGGGACTTGTTGAGAAAATAAGCTAGATGACAAGTTGAGTATGGTTCAAGGATCTACATACTAATAGACCCTTGGCTACTAACAGATCCTCCCTCAAGTCATATTTTTGGTGTATGAGCTCTCCTAGACCATCTTATGGTTATTTGCTTATCGATCCTACAACGAGAGGTTGGCCGTGGAGCGACTTCAAGTTCTCTTTGACCCTCCCCCACCCCCCCCAACTATTCAAATGATATTGTCTATCCCTCTTCCAATTACTCCGAGTGACGACAAACATATTTTGTATTATGACAAATCTGGTAAATACATGGTGAAATCACTATCAACTCCTCTCTTCTGAAATTAACTCATTTCACAACCCCATTTCAAATTATTTGGACACCAAAATTTGGAAATTCTTGTGAAATGTCCCGGTCCCACCAAACCTAAAAATATTTCCAATGCAGACTTGTTTGCGGCTTCCTCCCGTTGCGAGGGATCTATACAATACAAAAGTGTCCACTACAAACTCAAGCTAAGTATGTTATGATCCTGTAGAAAATATGGCGTATTGTTTCTTTGATTGTAGGATTACTAAGGAATTATGGCATATATTGAGATGAGAACCACGAAAATCAACCATGAGAATGCTCTCAATGGAGCTAGCTTGAAAATTATTGTTCTTTTCCCTAAAATTTTGAACACATTCGTAGCTGGCATGATTTTTCTGTTTTGACTTATATTAAAAGGTCTATGCAAAGTCTATGATTTCACATTATTTCAAGCATTGATGTTATTTTGTTCACTAGCAGCTCATGTAGAGGAATGGAGGATGGTGGAGGGACACAAGGCTAAGAAGAAGGAAGGAAGACAATTCATGCTAGGCCCGGGCCATGAAATTAAGGTACCCATCCCAGAGAAACAATCAGGATGTTACATACCCCATTAAGGGCATCATAGTTCTCTTCGATGGGCCTATGAAGACTAACTAGGGGGCCAATGAAGTGCCACAAGTTTCTTAAGCCTATCAGGTGATTGATCCATATTATTTCTTTAGGTAAATTTTATGATGGTGTTTCAAATGCTTTAGTTGCGTTACATAATTTTTGGTTGTTGCATTTTTTGTCGACTCGGAATTGGCCATCCGACATGTTTTGTTGAAAGAAGCATCTCATTCGTTAGGCCGAGCCATCTTGGATGAAATTTGTCTTATTTTTTCTTCATTTGAGCGTGTATCGCATTAGGGGTGGACATTGGTGCGGTCAAACCATTCCTGATCGCACTAAACCGCTTTTGCGGTTGAGCCAAACCGTACCGCGAGACTTGCGGTTTGACATATGGTCTAAGATTTTAGCGGCTCGCGGTTTGCAGTCGGATTAAACCGAAACCACGCAGTTGCGGTCAAAACCACAAATCTCAACAACCGACAAGCATATTACTCCATCGTCACTTTCGGATCCATATTTCGCAGACTACTGTGCAACCAGCATATGCTACTACCTACTTCTTCATCATCTTCCCAGAATCCCAGCCCAAGGTAAATAAATAACCAGTTTGTATTATTTCATACTCACCATCTTCACAGAATCCCTTCTAATCCCTACTAACCACAGGAACAACAACAAAGCCATTAATACCTGAAAAAGAAACTACCTTCAAATTCCAACTAATAGTAGTTTTTTTCTGAATGAGATGAAGAAGATAATTAGAACAAGCACTACCGACATTCCCTCCCCACCCCACTAACAAGACAACCTACAAAGTCAAAAGAAGCTACCAACTAATCACAGTAACAACAGCAACTAATACATGAATAATCAACGTTGGAATTGCTACACAAAAATTGCTTGCTTGCTGCACACCTGAAATCATCAACATAAAGTGATATCAGCATACCTATATTCTCTAATATCAGGAAACAACATTGCCAGTGCTCAAATA